ACAAGGTTCGCCATTTTTGATGTCACGTGATAATTATGTAAACAATGTCTGTCCAGTTTGTGCGAACTTGCACCTCTATACTCAGTCTTTTGATATATATAACCTAAATTACTGTTCTGAACGAGACAACAGATAGAGAATGTTTTATTTAAAAACATCACAAAACCTTCTCGCTACCTTAAATTTCGTGTAAACAATGTATTTTACACCCGTTGTGCAAGTTGCGTGGGACTCCATGTCTGACACGACGCGTCGAGGCAACTTAGGCACCTTAAAGGGCGGTGGTCGTCGCACTAGCGCGTGTTCAAATATCATGCTATATGTAAACAAATAACATTTCACGCGCGTTGTATACGTCGCTAAGAGTTCTATATTGAACGGGGCGCGACGCGACGACCACACCCTTTAATGATGATGGACGCGGTTTACGAGCAAAAATGCTGAAAATTAAAAAGCACTGCAAATTTGTTGTATTTTTATTGAGTGAAAGATTATATCAAATAAATAACACACTGAAAAAGTATAAATACCTGAACTTGTTGGCATGGAAACAAACTACATACAATGGAGATTCATAATTAAACCCAAATCTTCGGACTGTAAAAAATGCAGGAAATACCTGTTTCAACATTATGCTAAGACGCCCTACATGGTGATAATTATTCCCATGGCTTTACACATTGAACAGTGAATAAGTATTCATACACTAGTAAGTGATATGCACCATGGGAGTACTATTATTCATAAAAATCTTAATTTTTATATAGTTTAAGTATATCGTCCGGCCTATCAACTGAGAGAGTGAGAACGATCGTACGAGACATTACGTGATTGATACCCATATTCCAAAAGTCAGACCACGGAAGTAAAATTTTATAATTATGGGTGCAGGATTTCGATGTAACCTAAAATAATCTACTGTGAAATGTCTCCCCGTCGGCATCGATGTAGTAAAACGGGTGTAATCAAAACTCACATACAATGGTTTAAACAATGGCTGGACCAGACAGAGGGATAGCCTGGATCCGATTCTTTAAAGGCGAAGTGAGGTGAGCGGAGTAGTTGTTTCACTTGTTACGCACAGGTGATTGCATTCTAAAAAATACTTAAAAAGAGATTTTATTTGTATGGTGTGCTACATATAAATTTGGCGATTCTGATGCATACATTATATTACTAAAACTTGTTATATTCATTTCTATTATTATTATTATTCCTAAAACAAATAAACCCACAAAACAACAAAATACTACCTATCTATTAAACAGTTTCAGAACATTTGGAAAGTATTTAATCTATTTCAAATTAAATTGAAACTTATGCAAAGTTCAATGAAACAAACCATCTTTGAGCCATATAGTTGCCACATTTGTTACAAAGTATGAACTCTGAAGACATATTTTAATATGTGTTCAATTATATATATAAACTAAACTAAACTAAATTATAACTATCAGCATAATTAGGAAAATATTTTGCCATCACATTTGATGTATCTCAGAGAGTGTTTACATTGCATTAAAACACTCAGTATTCTCAACACCTAAATCAATTTTCATCAACCAAATAAGTAAATAAAAACTCGGATAACATCGTACATCCAGTCCATACCGTGAAATATACTCGAGTAGGGCTTAAATATACTCATTTGTTTTTACATTGTGGATTGATATTGGAATTTTTCACGTAATTATGAACTAGAAAATATCCACCATGCTGGAACTGAAGCCAAGTTAGTTGTTATTAAGATCGATTATTGCAAATTCGAACTCCAATAGTGTCATAACAATGCGGGATACCGTTAACCAGTCTAATTAGGGTGCCATCCAAAGATGGAACGTGCATCACAAATCAATCTATTTCATTTAACTAATTTGGTTGCCAAGACAAAATATATCACGGGAACCAACCAACCAAACAGATATACACAATTACAAATATGTTTCCCAGAAGGGGTGGGAGTTGTCGCAAACGGCAACACCATCTAGATAATAGTGCTAGGAAAGCCCAGCACCTTTGACACATTCCTGGAATGAAATGTATGATCCCACCTTAGATCAGAACCTTGACCAGAACGGCATTATCGAATTACATCACAGTCACCTAAAAATGGCTTTGACCCAAATGTGTGTAGTAGTCCGCACTGGGTGGGGGGGGGGGCATGTGTGGTGGTGGTACTAAGTACGACTAGCATTTTGCGAGTCTAAGGCATTTACTTACAATACAGCTTTTGATACATAGAGTAAAAATGAAACTAAAACTGAGTAGAGCATAATCGTAGCTGTATAAATACTATCCAAACTACCACATCTAAAGTAACTTGAGCTATTAAACTTCGCCCTTATTTACAGTTTCACCAGTTTGTTATTTTTAGAACACAAAACCATTAAGTCACCAGAACTATGGTCTGTTGAACAACACAGTGCCATTGAATTGGATATATTTACGTCAACAGAGGAGGTTCATGACTATACCTTTTAGAATTATAACGATTTTTTGTATTGTAGTTTTTTTCCGTATTTTACGCATTTATATTTAAATGCATTTCGATTGTAATTTTCAATTATAATTATAAGTTTGATATCTATTTTAATAGTGGAATCTACAAAATAATTACATAATGCAAATATAAATGTTAATTATAAATGCGTAAAATATAGATACAAATATATGCTGAATATATTCGTCCCCCTAATAGAATGGGAAATATTCACATAATACACGATGCACTTAAGTTCTTGGAAAGAAAATATTTTTGTACATATTGTAGTGCTAAAGTAGATGGTCAAACCATTCTTTCGTGTTTATCTGTCACAATCACCCTGTTATATTTTTTAACTTTTCAGTGATTACAGTCCAAGAGAGTCCAGACATGGAACAGCGTCCTGAAGGTAAGAGTGTGTCCAATGTTTGTAGTTATGGTATTTTGAACTGATGATTATGATATGAACTGATAACTGGAGATAACAAGCCATAAATGTGATTTCATTTAACATAAGTAATAATAATAATAATAACAATAATAATAATGAATACTATCTAAACAACCTTAATGATCTACTTATGTATTGTACACATAATTTGATAATTATTATTATAGAATACATGTATGTTATTCAGTTATGTTTCCTTCAACCATGTTTGCAGACATTCATTTAAAAAAATGTTACTATCGATCCAACAGAAATGGTATTGGCACAACTACACGAAACAGACAAGGCTTTGGCAGATCTTGTCGAATATGGAGAGGGTGCACAATGCAACATAGAACATATGATAGAGTTAGCTAACAGTATTGCTAAGATCACTGAGTTATCTGAATCCGAAGTTGCAGCTATTATGACAGACTTATGTAAAGAAGAAGACAAGGAAAGTGACAAAGAACGCGAAAAAGAAGAAGACACATTTGAAGACAGAGGAGACAATTCAAAAAACAATGTAGAAGACAAGAATGGATACACAGAGGAAAACAGATTAGATGACACGGAACAGGCGAAAACAGAACACAAAGTAGAAGACAAAGAAGATGATGTAAAGAACACAAAGGAAGACAAAGTTGAAGAAAAAGGAGAGAAATTCGAACACAATGGTGACGATAGAGAAGAAGACGAGGAAGAAGACAAAGTAGACGACAAGACAAAAGTAGAAGATGCAACAGAAGAAACAGTTGAAGAAAAGGAAGACAAAGTAGAAAACAATGATGAGAAAAACGAAAAAGACAAGGAAGAAGACATAGTAGAAAACAAAGATGAAGTCAAAAAAGAAGAGGAACAAGAAAACAAAGTAGAAGACAAAGTTGAAGTCAAAAAAGAAGAGGAACAAGAAAACAAAGTAGAAGACAAAGTTGAAGTCAGAAAAGAAGACGAACAAGAAAACAAAGTAGAAGACAAAGTTGAAGTCAGAAAAGAAGACGAACAAGAAAACAAAGTAAAGGACAAAGAAGAAGTCAATCAAAAAGATGAAGTAGAAGACAAAGAAGTAGACAGAGAGGAAGACAAAATATCAAATGCAAGGACAGTAGTAATTTATGATATAGAAGAAATAGTAAGAAAGGCTGGTGTTAAAGTTGAAGCAATGAAACAGGGTATTGAGCAATTGAAAGAAAATGCTGCGTTTATTGATGATGATGACATAGACAAATGTCGTGAAGATTTGGAAAAAAATGTTGCGAATGGCGAGGATCTATTTAAAGAAGCTCAATCATTTGTTAATGAGCTGAAGACAGTGACTGAGAAGTTGAATGAAATTAGTAATGATGACATCTCTTTAGCAGAAAATGAAAGCGGTCTAGCTGAAGATGTTTTAATGTGGAAAAAGAAGATAGAGGATGTAGTAAGTGATGCACTTAAGCTTTCCGATGATACTGATGATAATGTGAAAAAAGTTAAGGAAATGATAGCAAAAGAAAAAGAAACAAAATTAGCTCTTCGGGAGACAGTAGTAACGATTACCAAAGATGCAGAAAGTCATGCAGAAGAGGTTGAAAAATTAGAGAGTGCTGTAGACAAACAGATTGGGCAAATGGAACAAACTGTAAAAAGTAGTGGTTTGGATGAGTCAGAATTTCTTTCCTTAATTAAAGAGATAAAAAGCAACTTTGTATTACTGCAAGAAGAGACAAGCCGTACTAAAGAAAGTCACCAATCAATCCAAAATAAAGCTGATGAAATACTAGAGGTTGCAAAAAGTAAATCGAATAGTGGTAAGATTAGACAATTGATTGATGAATTAACCAAAGCAGAATGTAGCCAGAAACTTCACGCTGCAAAAAAAAATGCAAACGTAATATTTGAATGTATACAAAAGAAAAATAAGGAACTGAAACTACAGCAGGATAAAGCCCTGATGAATGATGATGGTTGGAAACTCTTAAAAGAAGTAGAAGATATTCAACCATCCTTTGATGATGAGCTTTATAATGCATGTGGTTTGCTAGCACAATGTAAAAACTTAGCATATGAAATCGAACAAGATAGTGCAGAACATAAAAAGCTTGTGAAAGAGTTGAAAGAAATGGTAGAATTACTTAAGGGATTAGCATTTAACCTAGAAAAGTCAATTAAACAACTAAAAAGTGCAACAGAAGAATTAACAATAGCAAAATCTGAACAAGAAAAACCGGAGAATGAAGAACAACTATTACATGCAGTCCAGACAGCAATGAAAGTTACAGAAAGTGATATTGGAAAAGTGAGAACCAATAATAAATGGTTAAAGGGCCTGGTAGCTATAGCAGAGAGCACTTCAAAAAGGCAAACAATTTTAAACAAGATAAAATATCAGGTAAAAGAATCACATTCTGCTCAAGAAGAAACTCATCGACTGTATAAGGAAGTGTGTACTAATGTGGACACATTCAAGAGAGAAGTTGAGGACAGCCCAGGTGTCAAGTTAGAATATGAGTGTGAAAAAGCAGCTCCAAGAAGAAAAACATCTGTAGCTGTGAAGAAAACAAGGCGAGTGTCTGTAGTCAGTCAAGTATTGAATATTGAAAAACCAAATTCTGCATCAAAACAAATGTCAAACATCAGTGACACACAGAATGCACTACTCAGTTTAGACACTAGTAGTTTGGATGATGGAGTCATAAAAGTAAACCCAGAAATTTATCGAGATGTTGAGAAAATGGAACGAACATGTCGAGACAACAATCTTAGATTGAAAGAATTAACTGAGACTGCAGAAACCATAGCACAGGAGGCAATGGATAAATATAAGAGACGAGAGAGTGAGGAAGAAATGAAAACTATTTTTGATAAAGCAGAAAAGAATTTTACGGAAGTTCACCAGCTTCATGGGTCTGTGCAATCGCTGTCTTCTGAAATAAAACAATTCATCTCTGACTTTTTATCAGGACTAGCTTTAAAAAAAGCAGCACAAGATGCAAAAAAATCAGCAAACGTTGCAGAGGGGGCTGTTGAGTGGCTTAATACATGCGCAGAAGCTGCAATGGAAACAGCAAAACAGGCTCTGTGTCTGAAAGAAGAGTTAGATAAATATAACATTGATGATGAACATTGCAAGGAAAGGTTAGAATCCATACATATGAAATCCAAGGTTTGTTCAGAAAAAGCAAAAGAACATGTAGATAAGTCCAGGGAACACATAAAAGCAGTTTATGTGGTATTACACGAATCTGGGTTGGCAGAAAGTGACATAAAGCAAAAAAGTGTTGAATTAGAGAAGATGGTAAATGAAACTAATGCTTTGGCTTCCACGACAGAGAGTGAAATTGAAGAATGCCATAAAGTAAAAATGGAAGTACAGAAAATGATTAATACTGAGAAACGCAGTCAGGCAGTTCAAAAGGCCCAGGCGAACTTAGAAGTTGCTAGAGATGTTCTGAATGAGTGTAATAGAAATGGAAAAGATGCCATAGAAATAATTGACACAATAACTGCAGCAGTAGAAGATTGTGGACGTGATACAGATGAAGCCAGAAAAGCAATTGAACATGTGATTGAAAGTTTGAAGTACCTTAAAGAAAGCACAGAGAACTTGATCAAGACGAACAAGGCCAGTAGTAAAGTCATCGACAAACTACACATTATGACCAGGCAAGAGAGGTTTCCTGCAGAAGAAATTGACGAGAAATCGACTGAAGTTAATCAATGTACAACAGTTATGAAGGAGCATACTCAGACAGTTAGTAAGGCGACCAGCGTAGTCAAAACATGCTTTGAGGAAATGAAACAGAAGAATCCCAAGAGTTGGGCATGTCATAAGTTAGTGCTTATTATTATTATTATTATTATTATTATTATTATTATTATT